AGAGACATTGCAGCCGATGAGGATGGAAGAAAACAGGTGGTGACAAAATGAAACCGCACGGAACTGATCATAGGACAATGGACTTGGACATTATATTTTTATATATTCATACTGTACACAATTCATGCATAGCAGTTATTAGTATCTTGCCATTTATATATTCACTACTTAATTGTCACTGAGTATTTTCATATTCTCAGCTCATCTCTCAGCAGAAGATTTTTGGCTAGAGCTTTTATACAAGTAGTTTAGTTACATTACAAATGTTTGTGTTACAGCTATGTTATATTTTAAGTTCAGTTTCAAGATTCTTACTATGTTTGTCTTCTACAATCAGGTTCACAGCAGGCCTTGATTGTGATTGCCCAAAAAAGTGGGGTCATTCAGGAATTTCCCCAAAACAGAACAAATTAAAGAGTAAACAAATAGATCAAACAATAATCAATATAATATAAATTGGGGTTTTCACCTGAATCTCTGTGAACACTGACAAACTGTGTTGTTATCTAACAAGGGGAACAGAGTCCTTCTGTTGTTATCGGCCGGGTGCTGCTGTCTCCTGAGGCCTGCCACTCACGCCCCTCTACTCTTCCGCCCGGACACGAACCTCCAGACTCTGCTGGCACTGAGGAGCAACCTCAGTGGTCAAGGCATCTCCTGCCCCATGTGCTCAGGTGAGACTGCGTCCATGATGGAGGACTACTCACCAGTTAATCATACCAAAAATATCTGAGATGCATATTGTGTCCTGCAGGTGTGTTCATGGAAAAGCCCCACGCTTTGAACACCCACACGTACTCATCAGCATTTAAGTTTTCTACACATCAACAGGCCACCAGCTCAACAACCTCTGCTGTTCCTCGGAGCTCAGTGAAGCCAAATTCGGGCACCAACCAAACAAGTAAAACATTCAACACTACTACTCCTTATTTTCAGCCTGTTCCATGACTATAAAATTTGGCACTTTGCACTGTGTTTATAGGCTCTTTGCTGACCGTGTACATATCAAAGTTGGACCTTGGAACCTCTACAACCCTTTACCGTTTCTCCCTCAACATCAGCACTCCCTGGAAACCGTGCAGCACAGAGATTCAGGAGGTGCCATCATTTCAGGTTTGGAAGCAGATCAAGTCAACTTCATGATTTCTGTTTTTATAATTAGTAGAAGTGTTAAGTCTCCCAACTGTAACTTTTGATAATCTTCTTATTTAATACTAAATCTATCTCACGGCAGGAGGAGTGACTCTGGTCTCTGTTCACTACCAGATTATTTAACTACTACTCTATTCAGAATAATTGTAATATTAAATGATCATTTAAATTGGGATGATTTGTCTGAATTAATTTAGTCGGCATCACACTCTAGCCACGACAACATGAAACAACTCAACTTTAAAAAAGTAACTACTTTGGGGGGGGGGAGAGTTGATCGGTCATCTGGTCTTTTAGTTCCAAAAAAATGTCCTGGGCTTCTGCTGGGCTCAGGCAGGTTCCCTGGGCTGGGACTCACGAGTAAGGGAGTACACCCCTACCCTGATGGAGGAGTTGAGTGTCTGTGGGCAGGGGGCACGGGAGTGACTTACATGCCACAGGTTATGTGGATGTAGACTGTCCCAAGGCAACTCGTCCAACTGGTAAGAGTCCAAAAGGGCCTCCTCTCGTAGTTCCCTCACCTGGAGTAGCATGTCCTCTGTCTCCGGGAGGTGCGCCAGATGAGACCGTTTTCGGATCAGTGCCTCCATATGCACACAGTCGTGTGCACTCCGCTGGATGCTGAAGCTCATATAGCTGGTGGCAGAAACTGTTCAGTTTCATCCACAGCTCCAACAGTTCCTTTACCTCGCTGGCTGAGTTCATTTTGGCCAAATTGTACTGTCAGGATTGGCGCATGATGCTGCCGAAAATGTCGTGGGTGAACTCAATTAAATGGCCAGACAAGGATATGTTAAACAAAACCATCTCTTTAATAAGAGCACTAACGCTGAACAAAAACAAGACAAGACACAGTGTAACACAAAACGCACTTACAGGTCGGTACAACAGTCCAAGATCAGAGCCAGCAAATATATACATCAAAGGAATCCAAAATGTGTTGTCCAAAGGGAAGTCCGATAAATCATACACAGTAGGCAGTCTGAAGTAAGAGGGTAAGGCAGAATAGAATTGTAACAGTACACGATCCGGGTCAAAAAAAGGGAATTACCAAAAGCAAAAAATGCTGGAAAGTCAGAGCTGGAGTCTAGAACAATCTGGCAAGTGACTTGTGGGGGAAGGCTGCTTATAATGTGGTGAAAAACAGGTGCAAACAATCGGGAGCAGGTGAAACTAATGTGAGTGATGATAAACAAGACAAAGGAAATAATAGTAGACTTCAGGAAGAACCCCTCCCCTCTGCTGCCTGCTCAGACACAAAAACTGCACCTACAGCCTCAGGCACAGCAGGGCGGACAGTATCATCACACAGAGAACAAGACTTTACAACTGCTGCAATAAGACTGATGGCAAATATGAAAATGTGAGAATATATGTGCAATAACCCCTTACTATCTCACCAAGCATAATGACATATCCAACTCCACCATGTGAATTACTTAAGTGCGATGTTTCAAGTTCACTGTGGGAAATACTAGTTCCCTATTTTTGTGTATTATGTTTTAATACTTTGTCGCTCTCTGTAACTATTGATTTTAAGACTAAGTGTTCCTTCTAGCTTTTGACTCCTTACCTGACACCAAAGAATTCCTATATGCCTAGTCTGTTTATGCATAAATGGCAAAAAAAAAATCTTGAGATCTTGAGACTAGGTCAAGCCTTGCCTTGTCTTATCTTGGATTTCATAATTCTACTTTTGCGCAATACCCCCCATTTGCCAGTTAGTGTTAGCAAGCTCCCAGGGACATACAGTCCGATAACAGTGTGGAAGAAGAAGTGATGAATGAACTAAGCAAATTAACAAATTTGACTATAGGCCGTTTTCAGAATTCAGAAAATTAAACAGTACATGGCTCTTAATCTGTGTCAACTCCAATGGCAAATGGACCTATGCATTATTGTTTAAAATCATTAGGTATGCTCCATGCCACCTCTCTCTCTTTCTCTCTCCCCCGCTCTCTCTCTCCACTATTCTTTTGGCAGACATAGGGCACACAAGTAAGGTACCACCTTTCATCAAACATAATTTGACAGGTGGCCCCGCCCCCTTAGTCCCAATTCAGCCAATCAGAATCGTTCTTCAGGTCCTTAGTCCCGCCTTCCGGTTTCCGGTCCCACGGGGTCTCCACGTGGTCCCCACATGGTCCCTGGGTGTACCCTCCAACCCCCCTGCATCTGCTGATGAAGATAAGGAAGTCATGACGTATTTGCAGCCATTGATCAGGGTGGTTAACTGCATCTGAAAAGATAAACAAACAGAAGTTACACTGTGTACACGCCTATGGTTATGTATGGTTATGTAGATAAGTATATAACTGTATTTGATATTGGTTGTAGCTTGATCTTGTAAAATGATGTGTGGAATAAACACCTAACAGTGGTTCACTTGTTCATTTTTACTTACTGTTGCAAAAAAGAAGTAGCAAGACAGAATATCGAGCTACTGTCGATGAACAGTGTTTTCTATTGCACAAAAAGAGTAGTAAGACAAAAATGTCAAACTACAGTCAATGAACAGCGTTTTTATATTCTGTGACAAGTCAGAACGGCAAACAACTATGGAGATAAAATACTATCAAAAATGTTACAAATGCGTGTTTAACGTTTTGTCTGTAACAAGCGATTTGTGTGTGTGTCATGAGGATCACAAATGTGTGCTGCGCAATCTGCACGTATAAAGCCATTTGTGTGTGTGTGTGTCATGCTGTTCACAAATGCATGCTGTACAAACTGCACATAAAATAGCGTTGTGTAAATACTTTTGTTTGGGAAACAGGTTTGGAAACTCAGATGTCCGAGTTTTCCACGTGTCCTTAAATGCACCGTACATTCGTGGATCGTGGACTTTTGAGTGCGGAATAACACTCTCAAAAATCCGTGTGTGCGCGGAAGGTGATTCGTGTGTGTTAGACGATCCACGCATGCGTAGGTAACAATGTGTATGTACATTCTAAAGAACTGCACACAAAAAATCGATTTTAAGCATTTGTAAAATGTGTTTTATGTGCAGTTTGTACAGCATGCATTTGTGAACAGCATGACACACACACACACACAAATGGCTTTATACGTGCAGATTGCGCAGCACGCATTTGTGATCCTCATGACACACACACAAATCGCTTGTTACAGACAAAACATTAAACACGCATTTGTAACATTTTTGATAGTATTTTATCTCCATAAACAACTGTCAATGAATAGCGTTTTTAGTACATTATCTTTTGAACATACATTTCAGCGGTTAGAAGTGAACACATACCTTTCTTTAATGCCCCCCTCTGTCACGGTTCGCTTTGTGCATGCTTTCCATGCCCGCCCCCAACCGCTCCGTTGCGGTTAGCGGCCCCTTTCTGTAACCAGAGATAACAGCGCAGTAAACGTTTTTTCTTACCTCATTTTTTCTTTTTTTTTTACTCACCCTCTCTCTTTACAAAAAGACTGTTTTCTATAGACTTCTAGAGTGAAAAAAGTTTTTCATGCATCAAAATAAGCTGTATTAACCTCTGAGAAAAACAAAAATGACTACTCCTTCTTTTCATCGCGAGAAAATGGACGGAGTCATCAGTAACACTCCTGTGATTATCACAGAGCAAACGGATTTACTCAACGCACCAAAAAAAGCCACCATGCATCTTGTCCGAGTCCAGAAGCCACCTGCATCTTTGCTTCGAGGTGAAATCAAACTGCAGACAGGCTATTTCGGTTATATTTTTCTGTACGAAACTGCAGAGTTGTCATTTTACCAGCTAGAGGAGGGCGAGACTTTTAGCCCTGACACTGTCACATCCCCCATCACAGCTAGCGACTGGGGTATTCTAAAATGTCTGGTTATAGAATACCTTAAGGAGTGTTTTGAAAATTCAGGACGTGATGTTGATGATGGCGAGGATTATGATGGACAGCCGGATAAGAAAATGCCTCGTTATATGGAGCAGGCCAAAAGCATGAAGGTGCGACTGATCGAGGTTTTAGGCAAGAAGCGGTCAAATGCTGAGTTGTTTAAAGCTGTTTGGGAGACACAAAGTACACCGTCCGGTCGCTGGTACTACAAGATCACAGCTCATTCACCTGGTGACATAAACGGCACCATGTCTTTGAAGCGGTTCAACAGCGAGTGTGGTTTTTAGCACCTGACCCTATACATGCCATGCCAAACCTGGTTGGAAATATTTAGAAGATGGGAAGATGAGATTACTGACCTGTTTCATACGAGTCAAGCGTGGCAAGAGGTTGTTATGGTGAGACGAGTTCTGTTTGAGTAACTGAACCCCGCCCACTCTGGCACCCCCAGCCCACCTCCAGGAGAATAAATAGAGGGTGCAGCTGTCAGTAGCCATTTACCCTTTGACAACCAGACTACCTCATCTGCACACCATGGCTTCTTCTTCCGGTACAAGTCAATCCTTGGCTGAGATGCTGCGAGCTGTTAACCAACGTTATCACTCCGATGAGGGGTTTCAACCGTTCTGGCCACCCTCAGAGGCTCCACTACCACCACAAGACCTCACTACAATACCTGAGGAGCAGGACACCAAAGCCCCTGAGGTGGATAGACCCACACGCAAGGTGTTTTGGGACACACTGAAAGCCTACGTGAGCCGTGTTTTGCATATTGCAATCGGTGAGCTCAGCGAATTTGTCTGCTACGAGTGTCAGGTGTCACATCCGAGCCAGGTCCAGCACAGCTGTCTGTACGGGATAAGCAATTCTTTCCTGGTGGAACATCAGGATGATCTCAAGAAACGTGTGCTCACCAGCCGTTTCATCACTGCTGCCTTGAAGCTGCTGGGGAAATACAATGTGACATCCAGCACCTCTGAAGTAAGAGATGCCACGGAGAGCATTTTGGAGTGGTTACAAGATCATGATAATTCGCAGTCCGATCTGAATGAGATACACAGAGATGTGTTTGACTCTATGGTAAAAATTGACAACCTGCAAGAAGCTGTGGACTTTTGGGAGGGTAAAGAATAACAACTGCTGCTGCTGATAGCTGGGTGTGGTGTTGGTGTGCTTTAATTTGCATCTAGCTTTTTAGGCATGTGTGTGCTTTTTCTTGTTATACTTTAAGAAACAAAACATGTAGCCCATTTCTGGTATACATCTTCAATGCTTTTTTTCTTTTAAAAACAGTTGTTAACCCTGTGTTTATTTAGCATTAGTTGTATTTTTAAAAACATTTTGTTATCTGTATAATGCTTTTCATTTATTCATTCTAAAGTGTTACTTTAAAAACAATCATGCAAATCGTTTTTTGGTATACATCTTCAATGCTTTTAAAAACAGTTGTTAGCTGTGTGTTTATTTAGCATTAGTTGCATCTTTAAAAACATCTTATCTGTATAATGCTTTTCATTTACTCATTCTAAAATGTGTTAGATATTAACTGTATGAGACATTGAAACTTCAGGCATTAACACTTT